TTATACCAGGAGCAGGGGCGGACTGACCATTTGGAAACTCGGGCACTGCCCGAGGGCCCGGGGTCAGTAGGGAGCCCCATAAGATGCCCCGGGTACCTTTTTCATAGGCTTTTTTGAGTTTGGGCAAGGACACAGGGGCCCCATGATCCCCTATTGCCCGGGGGCCCATGAGTTGTCAGTCCGCCCCTGACCAGGAGTTAAATAATGAAAAAGAACAAGAAAAAAAATAAAGCTACGTGCATTTTAGAGGAGTTTTGTATTATAAAGATTGTAAAGCAGGCTAGTTAAAGGAGAAGTGTGGAAATACAAAAAAACAAACATCTACCAGTATGCCCACTCCCTGCTGCAGTATTGATCCAATGCTGTCCCCCACCAGTTCACAGCCCAAGAACTGAGTGATCACATGACTACTAACTGTTCAGTTCCCAGTCCACTGTAACTGCTCTCTGCTCTGTCCCTCCAGCCATCACTGGAGCACTGGATAAAGAAAAAACAGATGGCGCACACACCTAGTGCATTATCCAAGGTTTATTGGAAGGAGTGAAAGATAAAAACACACTCACAGGCGAAGCGTATATATGAAAAGCATTGCAAAATGATGATGGCCACAACAGCAGGCAAGGTGTTCTCACTGTCAGTGCGGTCAAATGTCTGGCGCGTTTCGGGGATGAATCCCTTTCCTCAGAGCTAATGACCAGCCTCTGAGGCATCACCAGCAAGGCTTCCATTATCCATGCATTACACATCTGTATCAGAGTTGTGTCCATCGTCATTTAGCAATGCTTTTTAGATCCATGCTTCGTCTGTGAGTATGTTTTTATCTTTCACTCCTTTCAATAAACCTTGGATAATGCAGTAGGTGTGTGCGCCACCTGTTTTTTCTTTATCTAGTGGCTGATCTCCCCGTCTGTGGAGGGCTGCACCCCTGAAGCATTTCCTTTGGTTGTCGCTGTCCTGGTTCCCTTGGCTTCCCTTTTGGCTGTGCATATCCTGAGGCACTGGAGAGTACATACGATCACTGGAGCACTGGGCTAGGGAGGGGGTGGTAGGCTCAGGTTCTCAGTTGTGCGCTTAGAGGTTGAGCCGGCTGCTGATCAGACATCTGGGAAGATCCTGACATAATGGTTGGGTTTATTCCAGATCCTGGAGCAGCTCTGTGACATAAGCAGACAGTGGGCAATCACAAGAGAGCAAACCTTAGTGCACTTCTATTACCCACCAGATAAGTATGGCCAGAAAAGCTTTGGTGATACTCCTCTTTTTTTTCGGTGGACTGTAAATACAAATGTGATCAGCTAAATCCAAAGCATTTAATCAGTGAGTTATTTTTTTTTCATTAGAATATAATGTAGGATATGTACACTCACCGGCCACTTTATTAGGTCCACCTTGCTAGTACCGGGTTGGACCCCCTTTTGCCTTCAGAACTGCCCTAATTCTTTGTGGTATAGATTCAACAAGGTGTTGGAAAACGTCCACAGAGATTTTGATCCATATTGACATGAGTTACTGTTGCCTTTCTATCATCTGGAACCAGTCTGCCCATTCTCCTCTGACCTCTGACATCAACAAGGCATTTTCCTCCACACAACTGCCACTTACTGGATATTTTCTCTTTTTCTGATTTTTTTTTTTTTTTTTTTTTTTTTTTTTTTTTTTTTTTTTTTTTTTTTTTTTTTTTTTTTTTTTTTCCATTCTCTGTAAACCCTCGAGATGGTTGTGCATGAGAATCCCAGTGGATCAGCAGTATTTTAAATACTCAGACCAGCCCTTCTGACACCAACAACCATGTCACATTCAAAGTCACTTAAATCCTCTTTCTTCCCCATTCTGATGCTTGGTCTGAACTTCTCACGTTATCTTCACCTCGTCTAGATGCCTTTACGTATTGAGTTGCTGCCATGTGATTGGCTGATTATCAATTTGTGTTACCAAGCAATTGAACAGGTGGACCCAATAAAGTGGCCAGTGAGTGTATAGGGTATGTGTAGACTTATAGCAGTCTATTCTCACAATAAAGGGGAGTCATCAAGATTGATAGAATTGGCAAACTCTTTGTATGCTAATTCTATATTCTATTCAAAAGGCCAATGCAAACTGTAATAATAAAAATATTAATAGGTCAACTGGGCAATTGTTTACTGTCCTGGGTAACGAGAGTTGTAAATCCTACAGTTGGCTTTAAGCCTGCCATAGATTGATCAAATCTCTATCGAGCTTTGATCCATCTATGGGTAGGCTAGTTGTACTGATGTAGATCCATAAATCAACTTCAGTACAACCAGCCTACCAATAACTGCCAATGGCTCTAGCAGTAATCACTGTGTTTTACCAATAGGGAAGGTGGGGGTCAAGATGGTGATCTCATATTTTCCATATTATCCAATCAGAGAATGCTTTGCATTCATTCAGAAAAGGCAAATCATTCTCTGAATGGTGCCCATGCTGAGTGGCCAACTTCCTGTGTTCTCAATGCATTGGGCTGGCCACTTAGCACAGGACCCAGAAGCAATAGGAGAGCACTAAATTAGCCATTGCACTGCACTGGCACTTATTTATTTGCATAATTATTTTTCTCTCCACATGTTTCACCTGCATGTTTTTGTTGATTGTTTTATTCTGGATGGAGGGTGTGGGTCCTTTGGTCTAACCTGAAGTCTAAGAGGAGGATGTGTGGCCATCAGGTTTCTTCTCCCCAGTCTTGGGGAGTCTTTCTTTGGAAGAGCTCCTAACCTAGTACTCGGTGGTTGGCTTTAGTTGACCATGAGGAGAGGGGTCTGCCAGGCCTTTTGGCTAGGTGAACCTAAGTATGCCTCAGAAGCCTTGCACCCTGGGAAGCCATGGAGGAGTCCTACTCCTTTGGGATGCACATGTGGGTGGGGAGCAGTATTCAGTGACCACCGGGGGAAGAGAACTCACAGACCAGGTGTTGTGGTAATGTATATAAATAATAGCATATAAAGAAGTACAACAGTGGCGGCTTACACATCTGCACTGGCCGGAGCTCTTACAATAAACCACACAGAAGAGATTTACACACTTGGTTGATATGTGACAGCATCTGACAGAGGAGGTACCTGAACATGGAGGACTTATTTACAAGGCACAGTGAAGATCCTTAATCTGTCCCTCCTCCACACAAACCTCTCCCTATACTAACTGGTCTTTCCCTAGATGGGGGAGGGGGGAATATGTTCCTGGCCTAACCACTTACAAAATGCCTGCCAATTGAAGGGAGACAATTCTATTTATTAGCACTGCCCACACAAAAGATGGCTGCAGGAATCGTAAGGGCAACGGCATCCTATTGGAAAGTCGATCCACTGCTGATGCTTATTGAGGGCTACTCCACATCTTCCACTCTCCTGCCTGGTGGCCACACTTGTGGGGAGGCCGAACTACACACACCATTAGTGCACTTTTTTTGTGTGTGTTCACATGCACTTTTTGTGTTCACTTAGTAGTGTTTCATTTTTGTGCACCCACCATGGGCTTAAAAAAAAGAAAAAAGTGGTGTCCAATACAGTGATTTCCAGCTTCCTTGGGTGTCTGCCAGGTATGGTATTGTAAGGGACCACCTGGAGGCACCTCTAGCAATCCACTGGTCAGGTTTCCCCAGAGCGCAGAGTCTAAGTCCCGGGTCACTTGTTCACCAGGGCCCCTGATGGTGGGGATGGACTTGGAGCGTCCCGAGACCAGGTCGTGGCTACTGGGTACACCCACCAGTAGTAGAGGAGCCCGCCAGAGGCTCCCGCAGGGTGAGAGCCTGACGTGAGGAGGCCAGGAGATCCCGGCGGGACGGATGGATGAGCAATTGCAAAGTCAGACAAGCCGAGTCGGTAGCCGTGGGGTCGGTGCGGTACAAAGCAGCGGGCAGAGAATGGTCGGGTCACATGCCAGGTCAGTAACAAGAGGTCAGATCTACAAGGGGGCATCCAGGAGCAAGGTCAGGCAAGCCAGGGGTCAGGACAGGAGAAATCAGCAAGGTCAGGCAATCCAGGTCAGCTCACAACTGCACAGGTTCAGGAACAGGGATATCAGAAAGACCATACGGCAACCAGTGACAGCACAGGGGGAATTTAAATACTGCGCCCTGTGCCGTCATTGGTGCCAGGCACGCACCCGCGAACGCCAGTGCGCATGCGTGAACTCCATCGCCACGGCTGGCCAGGCCCTAGCGCCCGCATCCCCGCATGAGACGGCATACTGCGCCTGCGCCGGGACCAGCGCCGTGGCGATCCCTGACAGGTATACAGTATTTATAGTTTATTTATATATATATATATATATATATATATATATATATATATATATGTTTAAACTTGACCAATGTAACCATTCCTGGAATTCTTCTGTAAAGAAGAAATCCGGGCAAAACTGTATTTTCCCATGCAGTGGGGCTGTGCCCGCACTGCACGGGTTAAATGTTAATTTTTGTCTAGGGGTTCATAAAGCTGAGATCCTCTAAACACAAGACCGGTCCCCGCCACTCCTGCCCCCTCTGTACGCTAGGGGTCTTGTAAATGGGCTGTTCCTGACATCACACCCATAGACTGGCTTCGTCCGTGAGAATGGCAGGAACAGTCCACAGCTGGATGTAGGGGAGTGTTGTTTTCCAGAGGATTGGTGGACAAAGTAAGTGTTTTTTTCCCATAGCCCCTGGACAAAATAAAGCAGTTAACCCATGATTTAAGGTCATCTGATCCAATTATCCAGTTAGGGGGAGAGCAGGATGTGCGCCGTTTCAAATTGTATTGGCATACACAAAACAAAGAAGGTTAGTTTTAGGGTGTAAGTATTAGTATTAATGCAGAATCTCCAGTTCAATCTAGATTGTTTAAAACAAGGGGTCTTCCAAATGATAGAGTTTAAAAAAAGTGTGGAAACTTTTTTGAAGAACCCTCATATGGCAGTATTGTGAAAATAATTTGATGGTTTGCTTGTCTGATGTTTTCTTTAACCCCCCTGGCGGTATTCCCGAGTGTAGCTCGGGGTAAAGTTTCAGTAACACAAGCGGTAACCCCGAGCTACACTCGGGCTTACCATGCGGCGTTGCTCAGGGAGTCCCTGCAGCACTTACCTTGTCCTTCGCTCCCATGATGTGTCCCCTGCAGCGTCCCCGGCCATCTCCTCCGGCTGATGCCGGCATCCAGCTTCTGTGTTCCGGTCCCTGTGACGTTGGGACGTACGGGCGCCGCTGGCGGCGGGAAATTTGAAAATTTAAAAAAAAAATTCATTTTTTTTCAAAATGAATTTTACATAGTAAAACATTGCTGTTTCAAACCATTTCACATACATTGTGTCCCGAGTGCTTTGTCCGGCGCCCTGCCTGCATTTTTACTGTTCTTTCTGCCTGGAAACTGAGAAACGTCCATGGCGTCCAAAAAGCGTCCCTTTATGTCAAAAGCGGTTTTAGACCGGCTAGAGAACAGCGATAGTAAATCAGAACCACTTGCAGAATTGAGTGATAATGATTGGTGGGGAAAATTCCTCATCAGACATTGAAAACGATTCTGCTCAGTGATGTGCGAACTTGGCGCTATATTTCACATTTCAGTGTTTTTGGTTTGATTATATTATTGAATTAAATGTATTATTATTATATTATTATTTTTTATGATTATTTATTAAATTATAATTTATCATTTTGTTTCAAATTTTATCCTACCCGGGATGTTTACTAGACTCTTGTCCGGACAGATTTCAGGGAGTTATTCCTAAATATTACAGGCCTACAATAAAAAACTACATATTTCCATGCAAAAAAATGGTACCGCTTTCAGCACCAAAAATCTGAAATAATCCTACCGCCAGGGAGGTTAAGGGATGAGTGACCAGGGACCTGAGCTCCATCCTTCACTTTGCTCTAATTTGTTTTAGATGCAAATCCAGAAAATGTTGCTTTTACATGGTAACACAAAGCTCGAGCTTACCTGCGTCAGACATCGTGTTATCTGCTGATCAGAATCTATCATGTCACGCACATCCTCCCTAAAAGAACATCATTGCCAATCTCAGCTTCATGAACTTGTCAAATGAACGCCTGCTGAAAGTGTAATTCAGAACACATCACCTTCACTAATAAAACTATCTGCAGACCTATGCTAAGCATATCCTATACACTAATTCTATATTTACCTTTTAAAGCTATCTGGGGTACCTTCAAAGATAAGGAGAAAAAAGGAAAAAAGAGACAGAGGCCACGGGAGAGTTCCGTATGGTGTAGTAGTTTGACAGATAATTGGATGGAAGAAATGATGAAAAGATAAATTGCAATGGTGTACTCACATCTCTGAGGTTGTTGAGCTCCCTTTTGGGGATCAAACAACCTGAAGTGAAAGCCTGCAGGGAATATGTGTGTCCAGGGGCAGAGTAAGGTCACTCTTGATGTTTAGTGGGGTGATCCGTATAATCCTACGCTCTGTGGTCTCAGGATTCCAGTGGGTTCACGATAGGAGGTTTACGAGCCCCAAAAGGTGAGCAACTGGTGTCAGCAGAGGCGCCCAAATATGAAGGAGAAGCTGAGGAAGTCATGAGGTAACGTCATGCAACACGTCGACGGCATAGCGTGGTGACGTACTTCCGGTGTGGCGCCATCTTGGAACACCTTGTTCTCATGCTATACACCCAGCACATGGGGAGAATGTCTTGATATCTTCTATGGAATGTGAGTTTACAGCTTGGCTTATTTTTACTCATAAAAAAAGCGGTTTTACACTATGGAGAATGTTTTCTTCTCTTGTTCTATGGGCTATTGAGCAATTATCTATGTGAGAGGACCTATCCATCTACCAACCCACCGGTCCAGAGGGATTTATCGCAGGGGTGATAGTTGATTCCAGTGAGTTTGTTCCAGCGACCAGGCTATAAGGAGTGCCTTTACAGAGGGGATCCAGAGGTGATCCAAAATGCTTTGTGGCCCTGAGGGGTCGCAAAGTGGAGGTGAGAGGCCATTGCAGCTATTTTTTGTATCACATTCCGGGCTTGCTGTGTACCCACATTATACACCTTGCATGACCAGGAGGAATGCAGCACTGTACTTGTATGCATTCACGGATATTGGACTAATTGCACCATTCTACATTATGTTATATATATCAGTTATTTGTTTTTACACAGAGTGTGTGAGTTTGATCGCTCTGTAGGGATTCACCTTATATTGTATTGTGTCCCATATTGGGTACCAGGGGTCACAGTATGCATCCCTATTAGGATTGGGGTCACCATTTAATATAAAAGTCACTATATTTTGGTCCATCATTAGGACCTTTTATGTTTTTTACAGCACCTTGTGGTCACCTATTATTATAAAGTATATAAGCGCTACATCATTATAATTTTATTTCAGCTGAGAAATTCATTCTTTATTGATTCAAAATGTATTGCTCACAGAATAATATAAAACACTGCCAACGCGTTTCATACTGGCCACTTCCTCAGGATGGTGTATAAAACACTTTAAACAGTTGTGATCTGTCTCTTGTGCTGTTTTTATATCTC